TCTGGTTCTCGTCCTGCAGCTTCTCCGACACCAGCAGCAGATCCTGGAGCTGCCACAGAAGCAGAGCAGAGGAATAAAATCACAATTCACCAGAAGAAACGCAGAAATAAACGAGAGGAATCTGTACCTGTCTGTCAGCGTCTAACAGCCTCTGCTGGTATGAGCTGAGCGTGGTCCTCAGCAGCTGCAGGACTTCAGCAGGAAGACTCTGTTTCCCATCATCCTCTGCAGGTTGCGCTGATGGTTCGCTGGTGTGCTGTTGCAGAGCGCCTCTGATCTGTTTCACACAGGTCACAAACGCCTCCTCTGTGTCGCACTGCCTCTGAACGGCCTAAACACAGTTCACAGAAATGAGCAAGAAGAATTCAGATATTCCCTTTGATCGTAGCGCGACATGCACGCGACACACAAACATGAACACACTAAGTTAAAGCGTGTGTGTGTGTGTACGTTTTACCTGCTCCAGCAGTGAGTGTGTGTTTGCATGCTGTCGTTCCTCCTCCTCAAGTTTTTCTGAGAGGTCGGAGGTCGTCTTCCTCTCCGTTTCCAAAGCAGCGCTCATGACAGACTTGCACTGCTCGTACTCTAACTGCAACCTGTGCACATGTTAGAAATCCCAATTACAGACAACTAAAGAAAATACATCCAGCCTTTAGTGATGTGACTGGTTGATTAGATCAGATGACAGTTTATATATTTTTTTTAGCCGCATTTTCTGCAGTGACCTCACCGCTCCAGAGCGCGCTCAGTGCTGCTGCTCCTCTCTCTCTCCCGGCTGTAAGCGTTCTCCACCTCTCTGAACTGAGCTCTCAGCAGCTCCAGGCTGCTCTGTGCCTCCTGCTGGCCGGACCGCTCCACCGCCACCGCCACCTCCAGGTCCCGCACCCGCAGCTGGTGGTTACATGAACAGGGAGAGATATTGATAAGACTTCATTGATACTTCAGTGATTCTTTGAGTTCCTTTAGTGAATCGTTTTTATTTTAAAAAACTATTGATGTGTTTTCTCTGTTAGTGAAAACCTCTCTGCGCTTTAATTGAATATGTTAAAGCTCCGACTCTGCGCGTTTGTTACCTGGACGATCTCAGAGTTGAACTTTGTCTCCAGGTGAGCACCTCGCTCTGCCTCGATGTTCGACTGAAGAGACTTCACCCTCTGCTCCAGCAGCTGGAGAGAGAAGACACACATCTGTTCTTCCTCCCGTTTCCCACCAATGTTAAAAACAGGAACAGGGTCTGGCCTCCCCTCACCTCCTTCTCCCTGCGGCTCCTCTCCTCTCTCTCCATCAGCTGCTTTAGCTCGTCGGCACGTCGTTTTTTTACCTCGGCCTCCTTCTCTCGCTCTGTCTGCACCTTGGCCAGCCTCGTCTCTGACTCCTCCAGAGCAACCTCCTGATCCTTGCAGACCAGAAGACACAAACCAAACCCCAAGAAACTTGTTTGAGGGTGAAGAAATACTGGATTCAATCTGTTTTTCAGCCTATTATTAGGCTGGT